GGGAAAAAAGCAAGCATCCCAATGCTGCCCATACGTGCAAGTAGGACACTACATGCCAATTCTGGCTTCTTTTCATGTATGCAGCCTCTCCAGCACTCTCCCTTCCAAACTTTAAAGTGTGTTTTTCAAGCCACAATAGTTGGACCAGATAAAACTTAAGTCACAAAAAACATGTTATGGATTAGTGCAGTGTGCGACCCAAACCACAAGTCCTATGTCCCACAATATAGGATAACTTGCAACATCAGTTTGATGTGAACACGAAAACTGTGGTTTTGCTCTCACGGGTCTCTAGTAAGAAATAAAGAAAAAAGTTAAATCCCAATGTGGATTTAATGCAGGGATCTCAAACCATTTGGGCCAAGACTGCAATCATTATTAATTATGAGTCAGTTGCCAAGTATCTGAATTTTGATCACGTGACCATGGGGATGCTACAACAGTTGTAAGTATGAAAAATGATAGAAAGTCATTTTTTTCAATGCCCTTGTATTTTTGAATGATCATTAAACAAATTGTTGTAAGTTGAAGACTGTACTTTTTTCTCCCTGGGCAATCAGTGAAGTTCAACCACTTGCCATTTTTATCTTCTACAAAACACATGCGGGGAATCCAAGGGCACTCTTGAAAATAACAGTGATTCTGGAAGCTACATTTTTGCAGTGCCATCCACATGTTCTTATGAAAATATTACCAGTGATCATTAATCATTGCAATGCCAAAGGCATGTTTCAGGATCATAGGGTTACCAAGATATGAAAGGCTATTGCCAAATATGACATGGCTCTTGATCTTAGTAAATATTCCATGTAAACCAAACTTTAACTCACTGTTTCTAAAAATTCACATAAATCTGAAAATTTTCGATTCTGTCTCTACACAACACATTCTGAAGACTCATTTCATTCTGGTTAATTCTTGGGGCTTTTCTCCCTATTACTAAAGGGGATTTAAACAAATTAAAGCTGTGTTCACTTGGCTTTCTCTTACCCCAACTAACTTGGGACAAAAAGGTTCAGAGTGCAAAGACATAGTTATCTTTATTGCACCAATTCCTTAGCAAAGGACATGATTAGATACTTGAATGAGACATACCAACAACATATAGTGCAATTTGGAGACCTCCATACTGACAACAGAGCTCCCTGGGGATTATTGTTAACTTGATGAAAACAGTGCTGTGCATGTGTTGCAACATCATATGAACACATGAAAGATGGACCTTGCATTGTGATGGCACAATACCGCTTTTGTTACTTTGACAAAAGTTTTATTTATTTGCTAAATTTATTTGCTGCCTATCTCGCCATAGGACTACTATTCTGCGGGTGCTTCTGCGGGTTAGTGAAACATACACAAATGAGGTCTGCTAACTAACTACTTAGTTAAATAGCATTCATTTTTTCATATAGTAAATAATTGATGAACAATCTGAAACTTCATAAAGTGGTTGATGAGCTGAAGAGTTTAGGGACCCTCTGATTTAAGCCAACAAGCCCACCCCCTCTGCTCTCTGTACTTTCACCAGCTATTTGCTTATCCATGTGAGCATTCCAACAAAAGGAAGCTGGCCACATCTTTGAGTGGATGGCTCCATCATTCAACTGCTCTGAATATCTATGAATTTTCTGTTAAATTAATGAATCTACCTTACCTTAAGGGTTAGGATATCCTGTCCCTTTCTGCTATTTGGGAAACCAGTTGAAACCATAATTTTCTACCAAGCCTTGGAGAAGAGGCAGTATAAGGACTAAGCCCTGTTATACAAAGTCCTTGATTACTATGTTTTGTGGGATTTTTTTAAAGTGTCACTATTGTTCCAAATGTTTTTCTTATTGGAAACTGCCACAGCTCTTTTAATTTAAATACTGTATTATTATTATTTTTAAAAAAACACCATCTTACTGGGGGGTTTTTTTTTGGGAAAGAGACTCTTCTGTTTGATGCTTCTTCAATAAAAAAAGATGTTCTGGAATGGCACTATTGGCAAAAACAAAACTTTGGATGAGACTTAGTTAGAACTGAAAATGTATTGGGGCTCAGTTCTGAGTTATAATTCCTAAAGTTTTCAAAGGAAGTTATAGTATCCCAAAGAAGGCATATCCGTTGCCACTAAAGTTTTTCTCTTACCATACCTTGAGCACCATACACCCAAACCACACTGGAGGCATGTACAGTTCTCTTACTACTGTAGTTATATTTCAGTTCAGCTTCAGGGGATCTTAACTACACAGATCAACCTTGCTTCACCTGCAACCTGAGTTTCTCAACCTCAGCAACTTCCAACTCCCAGAATTTCCCAACTATTTTAGATTATAGTACAGTAGATTACAATTCCCAACATGTTATATGAGAAGTATAATTCTCGGCCATATTAAGTGGGAATTCCCGGAGTTGTAGTCCAGCATTCCTGGAGGGCTGCGGTGAAGGAAGGCTGGTGCCTTCTTTTGCTGGAGCCTTCTTTTGCTGGCAGATGCGATTCCCTCCCCCAATGCAACAAACTAAGATCACCCTCAGCTTTAGTATTGATCAAAGGCACCTCTTGGCACAGCTTTTCCTGCTCTTAGCCCAGCACCCGGGGATCCAATCGCGGAGAAAAGCAGATTTTTCATGCACTACCAAGGGCGGCGGAGGGCCAGGGAGGCTCTAAGTTGGGCTGCTCCAGCCGACGCCCCTTATTTCCCGCGTCGGAGGGCGGACGGCTTCATATGGCAGCTCACCTGGGCGATCCCGGAGCCCATGAGGCCGGCTCCGACCACTGTCACATGCTTGATCACCAGCTTCTTGGCGGCTGCGGTGGAAGCCAGGCGCACGAAGGGACGGGTCGCGAAAGCCATGGCGAAGCACGTTCTTGTGCCAGGAGGAGGAGGAGGAGGAGGAGGAGGAGGAAACAGCAGCGGCGGGGGTGTAGCCGGCCCAAGAGGCAGCCGAGCATGGGCGGGCCAGCGCCGACAAATCCACGGCGACGTTGCCGACCCCAGAGGGCGGAGCTTCCTGCCCGCTCCTCCCATTTGCCTTCAGCCAGGAAGAGGGAGGTTGGCGAGGTTAGCTGCTGGCGTCCTCGGCCCGCTTTTCTCTCTGCGGCACCTTCGCTGGTTCTTCGAGGCCGGCTTCTTTTGCAAGACTGTTGATCGGCAGATCCCATTTGCCAGCAAGGAAACGTCTTGCTTTTGAACTGCAGGGCGTTCTCCTTCGTATACCTCATTGTTTCCAAGGAAGGAGAATATTTGTAACCCAGAGTTGAAATGAGGTTACCTGGTTAGGATAATGAAATGTCTGCAACAAAACAAGCAAGCTCAGAGAGCACCAAGGACCATTCACCTCATTGTTTCTCAACTGTGGCGACTTGGACTTCAACTCTCAGAATTCCCCAGCCAGCATTCTGGGAGTTGAAGTCCACACCTCTTCAAGTCGCCAAAGTTGAGAAACAAATGAGGTATACCCTCCCAAGTTTCATCAGGATTTGCTAAGGGCTAAAATTTCACCATTTATTTTTCAAGGTGTGGGGGTAATTCTCTAAAGTTGTAATGGAAACATGTCTGGTAAAAGGATGCTTTTACTTAGTTAAGTCCATGTTCGAGTTTGCGTATCTGCAATAATATAATCCTACAAATCAAGATTATAATGTGGTTCAGGCATGGTTTGAACTACATGTGCTCTATTTTCAACCCACATTTTTTCTGAAGGTTTAATACTTTGATGAGCAGCTCTTGAAATAGCCAAAGCTATTTTGTCAACTTAAGCAACTTTCTCTTGCTTAATAAAGTGAAGATGTCAAGGTTCTTGGATTTCAACTTCATTACTTGTCACTTTAAAAAAAAACAAAAACATGACTTCTCTATTTAATGATGTAGGTTTTTACTACAATAAAAGCACCAAATGATTTCATTGTATTTCCCTTCAAAAGAAAAATTAATCGCTGACATTGAAGAGCACAAAGACTCAGATTATAGGAGAGTATTTTGTTCCCAATAAATTTTACAGGTATAATAAAAGCAGTTAGGTAAATAGCAATCAAATATTTGGTAATTCTCACTTTCTAAGAAAATGCTTCAGAATGTATCTGTTAACATAATAACTGTTCCCTATTTCAGGGTTTTTCAAATTGGGTCTATAAAACCTGAGGATTTACCAGAAACTAATTGTAAAAAAATGTTCACACAGCTAATTCTCCATCACTTACAGCTTTGTCTCTTTTCCAAAGGCTCTGGGATTTATTTAACTACTATAAGGTTTTCTGGCCTGAAAAAGTTTGAAAATCCCTGTTCTATATGATAGTAATTTTGCTTGGCACACATAGGCTTACATATATACTAAGTATAAATATGTGTGCAGTTTTAACTTCTTGCCTGCTTCACTTTCTAAAGCAGGGGTGTCAAACTGCCGGCCCAGGGGCTGGACGCATCACGAGGAAACCACGCCCACCGCATTGCCAGCAATGGGGAAAAAGCTCCGATACGTTGTGCGACGTCATGTGACATCGCGAGTTTGATATGTCTGCTAAAGGCTGGTGATTTTAGCTCACTCTGCATTGTGCCACTGATTTGTTAACTTAGTTGGCTGCACTTGCATAACCCACTGAGGCATAGCATACACTGTTTGAAATTATTAGTTTAGGCAATATAGGAGACATATACTCATTTTACAACTGTTTTACATATATATGGTTCAATTTAAAGAAATCATTTGAACTAAGAATTACATAGAATTGTGTAGTCCATTTCTGTTTACAAAAATACTTGGAGAAAGATTATTAGAGTAGTGTCAGTTCAGCCACAAATATAAGGAAGAAAGCATTTAGGTACATAAAAAAGATACCTACAATATAATTCTCATCAATTTGGTTTTCCAGATATTTTGTACTCCCAAGCATTTGAATAGCAATTGAGAAAGGGTAGTAAAATAATTTCTTATGTTTAATACCCACAGAACATGTTTTAAATCAAAATTGTCTTCTCAATAGTCAGTTTTTTAAAAAAATCTTTATTTAGACAGATATTTTATTATTTTATTTATCTAAAAAATTATTTAGACAAACATATATCGCACTGTGTCTAAATAGGCACCTTTTAAAAAAAAGCAATTCATGATTTCAGATCTTGGATTTTACATTCTCATCCTAAAATTCTAAACAAGACATTCATTTTGAAAACATTAGACAATATAAAGATTAGCAAGGTATAGACAACTAATACACCCAGCTCTTACACAGGCCTTTAGTGCCTTCTAAAATGCAGAAATACAGACCTCTGGAATCTGACAAAATTATAAAGTGCTTCAGTAATAGATTGCTTCATTACAAGAGGACACACATGCCATACCAAGGATCAGTTGTATTTTGCCCAATAAAATTATCTGCCATAGCAGTACTCATCTAAATGTTAGTAGTGCAATTGAAGTATAAGGAGTGTCGAAAATGGCCAAGTTTCCTTCTTAAAGGATAATTCATTCTGTAAGTTAATTCATATTACACTATATCATAATGCCCTTTCTTTAATTTTTAACATTATATTGTATGAACCAGTTAAATATTGTTCATGCAATAAACCACAGGTAAGCAAAAAATGATTCAGTCTGTTCATCAAACCTGCTGATCCATTATTCAGCTGCTCCGTGAACCGAAAATGAATGAAAACCCGCCATTCAATTGCAATTACTTTTGATTTTCCATCAAAAACTACAACCCCCAAATTTTGGCAGTATGATTTTTTTTTAATTAGGATAACATGCATGAAAAGGAATAGTTACCTTTCTTACCTCACCCCAGGAAAATTTCTCTCTTTTTCAAAATGCAGTTAATTTAATTAAAACATTGCAAAATAAAGTTCTTTTTGAACATGAGTAAGTGCATCATTTATGTCTCTGTATTGCTATGAAGACAGGAACGGGAAAAAGATAAGGGATTCTTTCTCTCCTGTAGAGCATAAAAATGGGGTTAAATACATGTACATCTTTTTTATTATGCTGAATAGCATCTAAATGTTCATCAAATATTCTGCATTTATGGACCATGAAATATATAGGAAATATAAGAACTAGCAATTTTTTTCCTCTCTCTACGTTTTAGTATTTAAAAGCATGGGACTTAAATGTTTTGGCAAATAAGATTAGAATAAGGGTTGCATTCCTACCTATCTCTTTTATTTCTAAAGGCCTTTTTAAATTAAACTTTATGCCCCAAAATTCAAACTTAAATATTTGTCAATTGAATTATTTTGTGTATAGTTCATGCCAGAACAATAATTATAACTGGTCAAGACTATTCTCCAATAGAAATGGCTGAGCACTAAGGTTCTAGAGGCAAGTACATCTTCTGCCCAATAAAACCCTATTTTTTAGCTATTTATCATTGTATTTACTTTGTTTTCCTGAAGCAGTACAGTTTGATCATGATAATGCTGCTTCCTATGGCATTTACACTATGTATTAAACATTTTCAATGTAGATGTTATGAATGGCTTGCTGGTTAAATCAGGTTGAGCTTAGCACTGTTCCGCCAGAAACTCAGAATGTGTGCAGTTGAGAAATTACCTAAGTTGTGCCAACAAAACATTTGCTTTTAGCAAACAATAGAGATACCATGAGATAAATCTCAGTAAATATGTATTAAAAATTGAATTGTGGAAGTCCACTCAATGTTTTGCTTTTCTTGATTAGCACAGAGGAACAATAGTTGGGCACAGTGATGGTCATCCAGAATCAAAAATATCCCTCTCCAGCACCCCAGAGACCTCACTCCATCTCTATCACCTTTTAAAAGTAATTTTTGCCTTTATTAAGGATGGAACAGTCTATGTACAGTATGTCTGATGCTTTACCTTTTTTTTTTTTTTTTTTTTTAAAAAGCAGCCTTCCTGAAGCATGTAAAAGGATCCAGCCCAAGGATTCTAGGTGCAGGTGCAGGACAGCTATTTTTATTTTATTTTGTTTTGTTTTATTTCCTGCTGAAAGTGAAGACAAGTTAGACTTATCCAACAAGACACCCTACCCCCCCACACACACACCCAACAGACTCTGGTTTTTAAGACAATTTGCAATGCCACTCAAGTTTTTAAGATAACTTGTTATGCATCTTAACTGTCTTTTTAAAAGTTCCAAATACATAAGTGCTTTCTGAATTTTTTTTTTTGGGGGGGGGTTGTATACTGTCATGTGCAAATTAGATTTTCAGTATTTTCCTTTGCTTTTTATCTATTATAAAAAGACATTTAATAATCAATAGTTCCTTTAAGTGTGGCTGCCCAACTTTCTCTTGTTACTCTGCAGCTCTTGAGGTTTACATATTTCAGTTTGTTTCTATAGTTGAAGAGTTTCAGTATATCGAGTGGGGAACAGCCCAAGCAAAGGAGAAAGTACTTGATAATTTTTGAACACCCCGTGGGCTGAAAATTCCCTAGCCTGCTTTGGGCTAATGACTAGGTTTTGGTGAAGAACATTTCATTTATAGCCCTGAATTTCATACAGTAATATGAACATCATGCAGCATTTTTCTTGGAAGTTTCCTCATCTCTTTAAGGCAATAAGTTCAAATGGGAAAGGAGCTAATGTTAGGCCGAATTTTCCTTCCATTGATGGTTTCTTTAAGTCTGCAGGATATATAAAGGTGAAACTTTGCAAAAGGCTCACAAACATCAAGAAAAGTTCCATCTTGGCAAGCTGTTCTCCCATGCACACACGTTTGCCTTTAAAAACAAAACAAAAACAAAAAAGGGGGTTATGAGAGACAAAAATGATTTTTCACAATTAATTCATGCCTAACAGAAAACAGCATTTTTTAAAAATTTCATTTCAATTTTATTCTATTTGATGAAAGGTCATTTGCTTCAAAGAAATGATCAAATGACGGGTGGAAGATTGCAGCCCTCTATGTGTATTTACTGTATCTGTATGCACATGTGAGAAAAAGTGAGAGAATTTCCTCTCTTCAGATATGCAGATATGAGGACCTCTCCTTCATTCAATCCCAAAGGAAAACATTAAAACATTTCCTACTATTAGGGGCATTCTTGTTACTATGGTACTACCAAGGAGAAGGTCTGCTCCTGAGAAATTGTTGGAGAATGTCCTTTTCCTTTGAAGACATCAGTGCAATTGTCCCCCTAATTTCTCGGAGCAAATCCGATGAAGAATTTTGAACACTATTGGTGCATTTTATTTATTTTTGGTCAATAATGTCTGATTCTCGGTGACTGCCTGGACAAATCCCTTCAGTTATTTTGGCAAGGTTTTGCAGAAGGGCTTTGCCATTGCCTCCTTCTCAGGACTGAGAGAAAGTGACTGGCCCAAGGTCACCTTGCTGATTTTGTGCCTAGGGCAGGACTAGTACTGATAGTCTCTGATGTCTAGCTTAATCCCTTAACCAATACAGCAAAATAGCTCTCTAATTGTCTCCTACAATTTATTAAACTGAAATTCTGGGTAATTTTTTACCCATTCTGTTTCTAAAATGGTTTTGACAAAAGGCCGCATCACAAAGGAGCTGATTCTTAGTGTATAAATATTTTCTGCATTGTTTGTTGTTATTCTTAGCCCGTTTACTTAAAATATTATGTAGTATTACTGCTGTGGAAAGCCATCACTTGCCAATAAGAAGTTATGGGGGCAGAGCTTATTGAATAAGCCTCCAAGGTCATAGTTAGAATGTTTTAAATAGTTTTTTGTTTATTGAAAAATAATAAAAGGATGATTGAAGGAATGGCAGTAAATATTTGCAGCTAAAAGGCTCTTGGGAAAAACTGGTCTCCGGTCAAATCTGGGAGACAAGGTTGAGGCCCGATCTATATTTTTTTACATCCCTACAATACCTAATTCAGTGATGCACAAATTGTGGCCTTCAAAAACCTTGGGAGATGGCCTGTAAGGCTTGCTGCTAAATTATAACTCAATACATTCATGGAGAATAATGATAAAATTGCATCACTTCCAACTTATTTTATTTTAAATTGCCATTAAATTAAATGAATTTCACTGCTTTCATTTTGGGAGTCTGGTCCTATGGCACACTGCTCAAGGATCAAGTGCTGCCCCCAGCCCCAATGAAGTTGTACTTTCTTGGCCAAAGTCACTGTTTCATTTATTGTCCTAACAACATTTCTGCTTTATCCAATATTTTTGATACCACTTATATTTTAAAAAGCATTTCATTTTTTCTTATCAATGGCATTGTTGCTGTCATCTATTGCGGGATGCTTTCAAGTTCTGTGCAGGTTCCGCACTTGTGAGTTATGGTTGGCATCTGGGTTCAAGAAATTGGGCTCCTAGTGTTTATGCCAGGTACATGTGAGTGGGCTGGCAGGGTCAGAGGTATGGATAAAAAGAGGGATCCGTTTAGATCCATTCCAAACTAAGTCTACTCCCCCTTGATTGCCACTGAACCTTTTGATGCCTGACAAAATGGTTGCTTCTGACCCCAAAAGGGCCTTCTGCACTGTCTACTACAAATAAGTAAGCAGGTGATTTAAAGATCTATCACATTAATGTTGACATAATCTTTACTCTAAACAATTAAATTACCAATTCCAAAAGGAATAAATATTTCTTTTTTGAGAAGTTGGCCGTTCTCATCCAGAAATCTTGCTGGGCAAAAATCATCTGGGTTTTCCCATTTGTTGGGATCTCTGTGCACAGACCACAAGTTAGGAATGATTACACTGCCCTTTGGAATAGTGTATCCCTGAAGCTCTGAAAGGAGACAGAAAAAAGCTCAGATCAAAATATACATATCACCAAATAAAGTACCAATTCATAACTAGAAACATCAAAACTGAAGCAATTCTCCTCTATAGGTGAATTTCCTTTCCTCCTTTATAGCTCTCATTTACTGAAATCAACAGACATTAAAATACTGTTTTATTTTGCCTAATTAAAATGGTTGTTTGTTATTACAATACGGATACATATATGTGTGTTCGTGGAAGAGAGAAATGTAAATGAAAGGGAGACTAATTAAACCATAAGATCATAAACATAAATGCCATGCTTTTTGTAAACATTACAGCCTCTTGAAACATGCTTTCAGCTATAGCAGGCAATCCAAATCAACTTTAGTCCTTATTTACTTTCCCTTCCTGTAAAACTTCCCAAGTTGCTACTAAATTATAGTTCCTAAGGTGATAGAATAAGAAAATTAAGTATTTACAACAATTAAATAAAGAATCCGCTCTTGTAAAAATGAAAGTAAAAGCAAGTTATTTTAATTGTTAGATTAATATCCTACTTTTCATTCAGAATCTTAAGGTACTAAGCACAATATTCCCTCCTTTAGTTATCACCCATAACAACTCTGAGAGGGTTGAACTAAAGAGTGATTGGCCCAGAATTACCAGTAAACATCTATATTGGAAGGACTTGAACTTTGGCATCCCTTGTCCTACTTTAACAGGTAAACTACTTGCTATCCTGGAATTTGTAGCAACACCCAGAACTGCATGTTGCTCATTTCAGTTTTTCAAGTTTCTACTGAATGTATTATTTCTCAGCCAAATGAACTTGTAGCATCATCAGGATGAATCAGGAAAGAACAGCATCATCAAGCTGACCAGCATTATCTATTCTCCAATACTGACCAGTAGTTTCTGAGGCCATCCGAGGAATAGAAAGAGGGACAACCACTGTCATCCTTTGAACTTCCATAATAGTTGCTTCTGTTAAGGGCATGTGCACCTTATCAGCCAGGGTGGGAGGTCTGTTGCACCCAATTACCAATTCAATTTCTTCTTGAACCTTTCCTGTGAAAATAAATAAATAGTAGTGATTGTTTTGGGTGAGCAGAGAACTGGTTCATTAGCAATCTAACTGAAAGAGGAGGAGATGGATGGATGGATGGATATTGGATATAGACTTGCATGATACAGGTCCAGAAGAGTGACACAATCTGCTCTTCTGGATGGGAATACCTTTAATCTTGTATTTGTCTCTTCTGCCAGGAATATCTGGGCACTGATTAGTTTTAGTTGTGCTTCAGTACTTTGAAAAATAATGTCTTTGTGAATTTGTTTCACTGAAGCTGGGATTTCATTCTGTCTGCACACATAGGAAATAGAAAATAGGAATAAAACGGCAATTCTCTCATTGATACCGATATGAAAAGCAGGGCTTTAGCACCTGGCAGGTCGTACACGACCCCTAGCCAAGTGTAGCAGGGTGGGGACGAGCTAAAGTGGCGCCACAAAGACCTGGAGAAGATAAGCTGGAGCTGCAGGGTTCAGTAGAAGCACCAGGATCTGCACACGCAGCTGTGTGATGGTTGGAGCTTCCAGCACACCCAGAAGAGAGAGGAGGAGGAGGACAGAGAGAGGAGAAGCTATAAAAGGAGCAGGTTTTGGCGGGAGAGGGAGAGGAAATAAAACAGAGAGAGAAGAGGCTTTTGTCAGCAAAATGGTGAGAGAGCGACATAGAGAGACCTTTGTGACCAACATGTGAGTAAAAGAGCGAGAGAGAGGCTTTTGCGAGCGAAGGGTGAGCGAAAAAGGGAAAAGTGAGGGGGAGCAGGGAAAAAGAAAAGGCATTGACTTCTGACTTCCTCTACTGCAGTAGAAGGAAGCATTAATATTGAATCTTAACTTTTTACTTTTCTATAATATAAACTAGCCATTTCTGTAACAACAAATGGATCTAACCAGTAAAGCCCAAAAAAAAACCCCTTTTTTAGTCATCAAGTTTTTCACACCTTTCTAAGCACTGGTGGTACTCGAATATTGTCATGTCCTAAAAGTTGTACAATCTGTGAAAAGGTTGAAAAGCCCTGATGTAAAGTACTGCCCCCAATGGATCATTATCGGGGTCTTGGCTTTTTGTCTGTTTGTTTGTAAGTAAATGATTTGGAATTAAGATTTGATGGTGAAGGAGTTATGCCTGCTGATGTTATCAAAATGTTCAGGGTAGACGTACCCAAAAAGGGGTTGTGAATCGCCCTGAAAGTTTGCCAAAGTGAGCAAAATATCTTCAAATGCAGTTTAATGTAAACATATAAAATTATGTATGTTGGCACAAAAAAACCCAATTTCACCTATACCAGGAGTAGGCAATCTTGGCTCTTTTATGACTCGTGGACTTCAACTCCCAGAATTCCTGAACCAGCATGGAGTATTTCAAAATAAATTTGGGGGGGGGGACACTATTTGCACAGCTTTAATGCCAACTAAATGTCAAACACTGCCCTCTTCTGCCTAAAGCAGAAATCTGACTTTAATTCTAAAATGTCTTAGAAAAAAATTAGCCAAAAAATTAAAGAATGAAATGTTTTTACAAAAAAGGTTAAAAACTGTTTTGTTATGGATATTTTTGTCTAAGATTTGGTATTTTTTATTATCTGGATGGAGTGATTCTTAAAATGGCACAGTGGAAATAAGCTAATATCCAGTCATAGTGCAGAAAAGTATATGGGGATAATGTTTTGGTTTTAAAACAATGTTAAATCTATCCTGGGGTTTGCAGTATAACTTTTCTACATTTCATGCCTTCAAGATGGGGAGAATGGGCCTTCAATTTTCAGCAAGAAGGGGCTGCAAAGACAGAGAAGCAAGCTGTTTAAATCTGTTCTAAAACATCCTATAATCATTTACTGAAGACTTTCCAAATTTCTGCTAATTGTAAAATCAGACCTTGTGAAAACATTTGATAGGTTGGCAGAAAATAAATACGTGAAACATGAAAGCTGTTCAGTCAGCAATTTGTTGTCATCATTTTGCTTTTAGCAAAAAAAATTTACTTATTTTTATTCATTAAATCATTCACTAAATTTCTCAACACTTACCCGTCTCACAAAAAATCAAAACACCCATAATAAAAGCGACATAGAGAAACAATCAAAGCGAGATAGTGATATCCTATTATTCCTCTCCAAATGACTTTTGAAGAGTTTTGTTTAAGCAACTGTTGGAAGACAACCACAGAGGAGGCTAATCTTGCTTTCAGGATAGGCTGTTCTAGAATATTGGGGCCATTAGTGAAAAACACCCTTTGCCTTTTCTAGCTCCAAACTCTCATTTCACAAGACTGGGACACCACAAGCAGTTTTTCCCAGAAAAAAATACTTTGGATGGGCCAACTCTAGTTGGAGTTGGCATTAAAGACATAATTTAGACCAGCACTGGAAAGCTATTGGGAATTAGTGCAAGAGCAGCAATTATATGCTCATAGCAACAAACACAAGCCAAGCATTTTTAACCTTGAGTGGCAATAATAATGTAAGTCACCACTGTAAAGTCATTGTGCTCCAAGAAAGGATGCAAGTGGTGCACCAGTGAAGATTGGCAAGAGCCACATTTCCACCCAAGCCTGGAATAGTAGGTATGACTCGAGGAACATCTCCACATTGCAATCCTACTACTTCAATGGTTGTACTTTTCTGTCAAGAGATACTACTTGAACAGACAAAATACAGGGATGAACAAACAACAACTTCTTGCTTGGATTTAATTTTAGCCTGTGTGTCCATCCAGCTTCATACATTGGGATGAAACTTCTGTAGTGCAATGGTGATATATAATTAATATCATTTGCATATTAAGGATATTTCACTTCAAACTGGCAGATGACATGTCCTAGAACCTTCAAGTAGATAGTAAAAAGCAGCAGGGAGGAGACCAAATCTTACAGCACAAATCCTACAATCCACCATGCTGACTTCTCCTCCCCCCCCCCCCGTGACCACTAACTGAAACTGTCCTCTGAATCTTCTTCTTCTTGACTTCCTCTTTTACCACTTCAGGCATTGAGGGATCTTCTGAATAAGGAACAGAAGTAGAGCAAAATAGTGCCTTCAATCTATAACACATAGACGGTTCAAAAGGACATGATGGCCCATAGAATCAGAGGCTGCTGAGACCCGATAAGATTAGTGGAGCGCATTACTCCAATCGAGGCCCCCAAAAAGGTCATCAACCAGACAGTAATGCCATCTTTGCCCCAAGACCAGATCTGAACTCTGAATGAAAAGAGTTTAGATGATCCACTTCTTTTAAAGCAGCTTACAGGTAAATCCACAATGTACTACCTTCCCCCAAAGAATAGGTTGCATGCTGGGCATTTAGCTGTTGAGAACTGTTGGATATAAATAGGCTTCTTCAGGGTGGTGGAGCCACAGTAAGCTTCAAGATGGCATTTCCTACCCTAAACCCTTATTACCTCTTGGCTTCAGCTCATCAGCCTCAACTTCCCACAGCCTCACAAAGGACTCATGAGATCACCTTGGGAGAATTTGCAGTCTCTCTCTTTCTGCCTGTTATTGTTTCGGCCTTTTTTTAAAAAAAAAAAAAGTTCAAAGTTGATCTGAGTATACCAGCATTTCCCATTTGTCTGACAAATCCTATTAACATATTGACCTTTCTTGAGGCAGTAATGCTGCCTGGCTAGCTGAACAATCTCCAATGTTTGATTGTTTGAACAACAAAGAAACTTTTTATCTTCCTTAAATATTTTACTCTTTAGCACCAGGATGAGCAACTTTCTTGAGATCAATGAGAATATAAATGAGGTATGGTATCAGTGAAGCAATCAGGCTACCATTTTCAGACCTTCTGGGGGAGCACAGTTGGGATTAAAGAATTCATACTGTCCAAGGAGAGAAAAACCTAAGTTTGCATATACAGTAATTATTGTGTATAATAATGACATATTATTTATGAAAAATCTTTAAAACATCAGTTCCAATATAGCTGTCTTGGAAGATTCCTTTGTTTTATTTCTCCATCCTGAGAAAAGATAGTTTTGTCTACTCTTTTATAGAATGTTTTAAATAGATATGTCTCTTTGCATTGTGGAACATAACCCATAATTCTACAACATACAGAGGACTTTCATCCCAGATATCTTACCTATTCCAAGTTCAGCAAGTTTTGCTAAGAGGTTCTGATCCGCTCTCCTGCTTCTTTCATAGAATTGCCCTTCTTCCTTTTAAAGAAGCACAACCCCAAAAAGAGAGCAAGAAAAAATAGCTGCTCCCTTTCCATCATTGTTCATTTTCTTAAACATCTTGGAAAGCTCAGCCCCACCCACCCACCCACCCACCAAGTAGAAAAGCTTTGAATTACTGACTTCAAAGAATGTTCAATAAGAAATTTAGATAAAATCAGATGCAACGTACTTTGCTCTTGTGGGTGAAGTGACATGTAAAGAAGGCTCCAGAGTAGTGTGTTGGATGTAGTTTCTGTGCCTGCAATAAAAAGGTCTGCAATAATGAAGAACAGGTAATCTTCATTAAAGCTAGTTTCCCCATTGATCTTCTTTTCCTCATCTGAATGCAGGAGATACATATCAATGAAATCTCGGGGATCCTGGGCATCCAAGTTTTCCCTGTGCTGTTTAATGATGTTTTTCAAGAAAGCTGTGATATCCCGCACACTCTGCCTTAATTTTCGGAAAGATCCAAAAGGAAGATAAAAAAGCCACGGGCAAATGTTAACCAACAGTGCCTGACTATTCACGCTGAACTCTAGTGCCCATGATATAATAGTTAGCATGTTCTTGAACTCTGCATCATCATAATCAAAGCGCCTACCCAAGGCCATTGAGCTGATCACATTGGACACTGCATTGCCAATAATAGGGAAAGGATTGAATTGCTCCTCTCCATGTTTCAGGATCTCTTCTTTCACATACTTGAATTCTTCAATGATTTTAGGCTCTAGACTGTGCTTTCCTAATCCAAAGTGACGGAGAGTTGAGTGGGAAAACTTCCTTTGTTTTTTCCACACTGGATTATAAGGTGCAAACACCAAACCTGTATGGAGAAAAGAATGTTTAAGATTTGAAATAGGGCAGCTTTGAATCCTTGGAGATCTTGTATGCAGTTTCTTTCACTCCAAAGACACAATAACTTTGGGCATAAAGGTCTTTCATCAGAGTTATTGTACACAGCCTAAGGTGCTACGTCTGCATGTAGGCCAGTGGTGGCAAACCTATGGCACGGGTGCCAGAGGCGGCACTCAGAGCCCTCTCTGTGGGCACGCGCGCCATCGCTCCAGTCCTAGGACTTCATCTGGGTTTTATAAAACCTTTTCTCTTTAGGCCTCCGCCGCCGTGTGCAAAAAAAAAAAAGAATCAATCAATCAATCAATTTCAACTTCTCACGGGAAAAAAAAAGATCTTGCAAAGTTGGAATTGATTGATTGAACTTTTTAGTCCCACTCAGTCTGCTGTTACCACCGCAGCAACGCCCACCCCATAGGACACACACACCCAATTGGCTATACCCAGTCAATGGTCCACACCCACCCGGCACCCGATGATGCATAAGTGGATTTTGGGTTGCAGTTTGGGCACTCGGTCTCTAAAAGGTCCGCCATCACTGATGTAGGCTCTAGAATAGATCTCCAAAAATTATTCCAAATTTTATTTTTTAAATGTGACAGAAGATAAAATGTTTAAATATAAGACTGGAAGATAATCATATTTTAGTTACATTAAATAAAATGCAGCTTATATTTGGAAGAAACATGTTTATTTTTAGGAGTGCACACCACTTCACAACCAAGTGCATCCTTTGATATGGAAAAACTGAACATCCCTACTTTATGTAATGACTAGAGCATAAATCTTGCACCCAATCTTTCATTTCCTAGAGAAGCATCTTTGAAACCACTGAAATTTTATTAGGTTTTAAAAACAGAGCAAGCTGCTTTAAAAGTGTGTCAGAATATTTGCTCATCTAGCCACTTCTGTAAATTTGTCAATCTCTTATTCAATGGTGTTGTTTAAAATTTCATTTTTCCAAAACAGTCGTTTTGAGATCTACCATACAGTGTCTTTGGGATGCTGAAATGCTCTAATAATACACTGTCCTTATTTGTGTCAATTAATTATTTGCACAAAATTTGCTCCATATGTACTCTCTAGAATCAAGGGGCACTTCTGGCTGACAAGAGCATGTGAATACAGTTCTAATCTTGCATGTGTACTTGTTGAGCTCAGTGATAGTACTATTGATGTCATGGGGCAGTAGACAACTGGGTTTGTTATAGATTTCTCAACTCACATCAAAAGGTTTCAGCAATCTCAGAAACCTTCAACAAACAAAATAGGCTTTTAACACATTTCAATTATTAATTGATAAGCAGTACTTATAATCTGCCTTATTTGTATACTGCATCTGCAGAACATCCTGTCTCCTCCTTTTCCACCAGCCTAACTTGAATCCTACATTAATCTAACCCTTTTATGCAGCTTATTAAGTGAACCGCAGGTCACAAATCCATATATCCTTTAATGTAATTTGTTACTTGGAAAAAGCTGCCCCAAACTCCTTACTTACAGGAATCTTTTAATTTCGGCCATTTTAGCAAGCCTTCACTTCTCTGGGTCCTGCCTTGTGGTAAGTATGCTGCTGTGCTGTAATGTTTACACACTATGCAATTCAATTAGTTACAAGTCTGATCCTTTACTTCCTCAAAGAGTGTGCTTATAACAGAAGCCTAAGGCTTCGTTCACACATTGTGCTAAGTGTGGAATCCTTGGTGCTCTCTAAGCGGGTTGTTTTCTTGCAAATGTTTCATTAGCAAACTAGGCAACATCAGTGCTAGTAAATGAGTCAAAATAAAAAACAGCTTTAGGGAAGGAGTAAAGGTTTCTCTTTCACTCGCCACACCTGCCAAACTAAGGATCGGGGATGGGCCTTAATAATAATAATAATAATAGTAAAGTTGGAAGGGACCTTGAAGGTCATCTAGTCCAACCCCCTGCTCAGGCAGGAAACCCTATACCTTCCGGACAGAATCCTTCCCCCCCCCCCGCCACCCAGATCCAGTTACAGAGCGCGCGCAAGAGCCGGAAGGGTCCTTGATCAAAGCCTCCGCCCCGTCGAACCACTGCCCGCCCCACCGCCCCGTTACCCTTCTTCTCGGTGAGGATGGCCACCAAGGGCACACTGGGGCGGTCGCTGAAGATCTCGGCCTGAGCGACCAGCGCATCCCGGACAGCCTCAAAGTCGTTAAGCACAATGACGTGGTGGCTGCCCAAGTCTATTCGGAAGATGCTGCCGTACATCTTGGCCAGCCCGGTAAGCATCACATGCATCGGCCTTCCCTCCTCGGCTCGGTCGCAGTTCGCCTCCTTCTTGCGGGGCGCAAAGACACCAACGGCGTGCAGTCTTTTGGGCAGCAGGGCGAAGGCGAAGTTGCCCACCAGCGGCCAGGGCTTGGGGCCGGGTGGAAGTCGCTGCAGAGACTGGCGGCCCAGCAGCCACCACAACGCCAGCAGCAGCCCGGTGGCTCCAAGCATCGCCGCTCTAACGGTATCTGGGGCTAGAGAAGCAGGCGGCTCCTCCGCGCTGGCGACCGCGGCCATCCTGTCCGAGGCAAACGGCGAACCCAGCAGCAGGTCCAGCGCGCCTCCAACCTGTTAGGGGCGTCCGCTGCACTAGCCCCTTCTCCTCTCTGCTACCGGTGGACGCGCTTTCGCTTCCCCGGGCTGTTGCAGTAGCTCCTCCTTTGATCGGCTGCCTGGTGGGGAGAAGGGAACAATGACAGCTCGCGGGAAACTCCCCCGAGTTGTGACGTCGTGAAGCAAAAGAGGTTTTTCTGCTCTGAGACTCCGGAGTTTGGAGCGCCTCTCGGCTCGCCCGGGGCGCGGCGGCCTTCTTGCAGCGCGGAGATGCGGACCGCTGCACTGTGGTTCTTAAAAGGCCGGGCAATGCAGCGACTGCAGTTGGCGCCGACGGCACGTGGCAGCCTGTAGAGATCAAGCATGTCTGCGAAATTGGGGGGTGGATGGGGAGGAAAGAGTGTGATGGAGCAAAAAAAAAAAAAAAGAGCAAAAAATAAAATGAGCCTGGGATAAAAAGAAGGAATTCACGAGATCAGGTACAAATTCGAAATCAGTGCTGTCCTTTGGCTAGCATAAAAAGAATTATAGTACAGTTGGATATAGCCTTATTCATCCAAACTGAATTTGCCATTGTAATATTTATCAATTTGTGTTTGACCAGAGCCGTAAACAAGGCTGTGGGAAGAATCCAGAGAAAGAAATATTTTGGGAAATATTAAAAAGGCAGAATATATTTCCCCAAAGGATCTTAAAACAGGGGTGTCAAACTCAAGTTTCATTGAGGGCCGCCTCAGCATTGCGGTTGACATGGGGGGACCCGGGTGGGCGTGGCCAGCTCTACATCATTCGCGTCAAGGGTGCCTGTGGGGGCCTCGGCAGGAGTGGGACAGATCTGAGGGTCTCTGGCAGAAAGGAGTGGGACCAGGGCAGAGGCCATCAAGCTGGATATGTGAAGTAGGCGAGGGCCATTTGATGGCCACTTCCAGGCGATGGTGCATTTCTTCATTCCTCACAAAGGTGACACCTCCCCAGCATGCACCCACGGGGCGGGGCCGATGCGGCAGGGGCTGGTTCCTCGCTGGTTCCAGACAGCCTTGTGGAGCTAAGACTGAATGCATTTCAGCATAAATGGCCACCACAAAATTGTACATTGGATCCCGGCCGGCCAGGGCCAAGGCAGCGGGAGTTCCTTCACTGTTTTCTGGATGGCTTCGCGGGTCACATTAAACCACTTTGCCGGCCGCATCCGGCCCCTGGGCCTTGTGTTTGACATGTCTGTCTTGAAGGCAGAAATCCCCCCTCCTAAGTCTCTCTGCCCCAAACATAAACCAGGTCTGTAGAAATGCAGATGTGATAATCTTGTAAGAAAGTTCATGCTGCAGGAACAACTCTAAATAAAAGCTCGAGAAGGTATAAAAACCCACCACTTCCTACTGCATGTGGACAGTTTTCCCAGAGCTATCTTTCTATCTGGCTCTTCTCTTCAATAAACTACAACCTTCTTTCTAAAGCATTCTCCATTTTGCTTATTCCCAGCTTGGACTGGACCCTGATGGAAGATTTTTCTTTCAACAAGGCAGTTACCATAGCACTTTACGCAAACCAGCCCATTTCTGGCTCATTGTGGCAGACAAACACGGAAATTGAGTTATGAAAAATCTGAGTAAATAAACATGTGAGCATAGCCACACCTTAATTAGATCTTTGTTCACTGTAAAGATTACAGAAGAATCTTTAAGTGTTCTGGCCCAGCTATGGTATTAGTTTTAACATAGTCCACATTTTGGGCTTACTTACCCAATTGAAGGCTTTGTGCAGCCAGTAAAGGAATAATTTTCTTAAATTCTCTGGCTGCCTATTAGTCATCCTAGGCTAGTAAAATTTTAAATAGTAGATATTTGGAAGGATATGTGCCTACAGTAATCACCGTTAAGTGCGATGATGATTATGTTATCCATAAGCAGACAGAATAATTTTTTGGAAGCCAAGCAAATAGTTTGCATAGGGAATGTGTGCGGTGCATTTATCCATTATTAACTAAAATGATTACTAATTAACATTCTACTCAGGAATCTACCACAAACGGAGCCATCAGCAAATTGGTTTTGCCCAACAGCCCAAGCTAAAATGTGTATGTTAGCCTTGTGACGTATAAAGTAAGACAACCCATGTAAATTGTTAATGAGTCTGTATCTGGAAGCATGATCAAGAGTAAACTGATGCTATACTTTGCTCTGAAATACTGGCTTCCAGTTTATTTTTATTAAAATCGGACATACTTATCCCACTGCTTATTTGCTGACTGTAGGAGGGGCATGGAGTTTGGCTACCTAAGGGAACTATCATTGGTATAAGCATTATACATTTCTAAAATGGGGGGAGGAGGTGGATAGAGCCAGCAGGTCCAAGGTTACTTAATCTGTGAGGAAATGAAGAATACAGTTAATTTATTTTAAAATATAGTACACCACATGTATATTTCAAGAGGCATTTTCTTTTGTAAGTACATTTGGCGTTACAATCTATTTCAGCAGACTGTAAAAACTTTCATTTGCTCTTATATTGTTAAGTGAATGTAAAATCTGTAAATGACAGAATCAGGATATTAAAAGCCATGTGAGTGAAAAAGACACTCTACAATTGAATAAAGCAGGAAAAATACGTTTACTTGGGGGAAGTTACTTGAAGTCACGATCTTCTGTAACTTTTGCAAAGACATGCTGTTGTTATAGATTTTTGTCTAAAAACGTTTCGTTGTGTTAAAAAATATGTTATGAACTGGAGTAAGATTTGAACTTTTGTTGGGCAACTTATTTCAGGGCCCTAGAACAGTGGTGGCGAACCTATGGCATGCGTGCCAGAGGCGGCACTCAGAGCCCTCTCTGTGGGGATGCACGGCATCGCCCCAGCACTGCTTCCCCAGCGGCCCCCTCCTCCCCAGCAGACCCCCCCCGAGTGCGGGCTGCGCAGAACAGCATAGCCAAGGACATGGCGGCCGGGCAGTGGGGACAAGACTTCGCCCTCACACTCCGTCTGTGGGGTGCAGTTGGAGGGTGTGGCCACCATGGCGCTGCTGAGTCACCTGGGCAATCTGCAGCAGGCCGTGGAGGCAGTGAGTGGCCCTGCGGGCAGGTGGGCAGGGGCGGAGCAGGGGTGGGCAGGGAGGCAGGGCGAAGCCTGTTTTGGGACACTTGGTCTCTAAAAGTTTTGCCATCACTGCCCTAGAAGCTGCCCGGTGCCATCTACTCAGATAACACTCTTATGTGTACTACTGTGATTACACACATCCCTGATATTACAGTAGGGGGAGTGGTTGCGCATTTTGACTAAATTTGACTGTGTACATTTTCACATGGCTGCAAAATCTTCTTTTAGTGAGTAGTTGTGATTAGAAGAGTATCTTGGAGAAAAGATACTGAGAAACATATAAGTAAGCAAGCCATACACGCATAACAGGATGAGAGCAAAAAGGGATAGGGCATGCATTGGTCACACGATGATCACAAGTGTTAGTATGTCTACTATGCCCACAACAAAAGGATACTGACAGCTTTCCAAAATAAATTGCTAATTTAATAATAAAGCTGGTTGGAATCTTGCCAGATTTGGAGATCAGGCAAGATTTCTTGCCATTTTGCTAGTGAGCAGGTTAGGGAAGATGCCTGGCCCATTGCACAAGATTGTATGATATCACTGGAAGCCTAAGGAGAGCCCCTCAAGGCCAGCATTAGGTTCCTATAGTCCAGGGGTCTTCAACCTTGGCAACTTTAAGACTTGTGGACTTCAACTCCCAGAATTCCTCAGCCAGCAAAGCTATAGTCCAGTGATGATGAACCTATGGCACGCGTGCCAGAGGCAGCATTCGGAGCCCTCTCTGGGCACATGCATCATCGCCCATCCCTGCCTCCTCCCATGGCTCCCTCCTCACCAGCAGCCCCCCCAGAGGAGTGGCCCCCAGGTGCGGCCCACGCAAAGCAGCGCAGCCAAGGACATGGTAGCCGGGTAGCAGGGACAAGACTTGGCCCTTGCACTCCGTTGCGTGCAGATGATGCTGCAGGGCGCAGGCGGAGGGCATGGCCGCCATGGCACTGCTGGGTTGCCTGGGTGATCTGTGGTGGGCCGTGGAGATGATGGGTGGCCCAGCGGGCAGGGTGGAGCGGGGACGGGGGGGCGGTTTTTGGGCACTCGGTCTCTAAAAGGTTCGCCATCACTGCTATAGTCCATAGTTTGGGCATAATAAATATAATACAATCTTGGCACACGTGTTTTATAGCAACTGGTATTTAATTCATTCTTATAGTCAACTAAATACATGGACATCATGACTAGTAGTCATTGGTCCTTTCTGTTTTAAAAGCAACCCATAGAAATAAATTGTGTCCTGTTACTTTGAATCTATAGGACATTAAGAT